ATTAAAATGAATGTAATCGAATATTTCGAATTTTATAAAATTCCAGAACATTCAAAATGTTAACCCTTTGAGGGGGAGGTACCAGAAGGAGTGGATCTTGGATCAATAAAAATATTGTGATGTTTTTATAACAGTTTATAACAGTTAATATTATATTTATAACAGTTATATTTATAACAGTTATTATTATTCAAAAAATTGACTCTTTGTTAGGGAGATACTTGATGGAGTGGACCGATACTGTACTAGACAGACGTACGTATGGAGGGATGGAAAAACGGAATTGATCCAAAGAGACCTAGGGTCTAAAACAATTTTTTCGATGATGCTTTGTACATTATTTTGCATAAACTCTCATAAAGTACGGCCATAAATAAATTGATAAATTATAAGACCTTTAGCAAAATTTAATGAAAGATATATTTTTGGAATTTTTCTTTAAACCATATATTGAAAAAAAAAACGAGCAAGAAGACCCCTCGCTTGTGGGTTTAAAAATATTCATCGTATTCTTATCGTATCGTCGTATTACCTGAAATGCAAGGATTCAAGCAATCTTTATTGGAATATTTCCAAAAGTATGGGAGAGGAGGGAACTTACTACCTTTCAAACTTTCAAAACACCGATATACGTGTCTTATATTTTTAGCTCTTTTTCATATCTGCTGTATTATTCCGAAAATTATTGAAAAATTGAATTTTGTAGCAAAGTCTTATTTTCGTATTATTGACAAACACACCATATTCCTAAAATGTAAGAATTTCAAGAATCGAAATCCAAAATTTTCAGGAAATGTATCCCTTTAGGTTAGGTTAAACTTTCAAATCGCCCGTAATTATTTTTGCTAGTGACTAGAGCCATTGCCTCGTTGTAACTGTTGATATGCAAATTTTGGTTCCGGAGGATTAAAAGACAAAATAGAGTCGTATGACCAATGCCTTTCTGCCCCGAGAATCTGCTGTCGAGGTTTGGAAAGGATTTGCAATAACTTCAAAATTGTGTACTTTAATTTCGCCTCATGTACCAACAATTTGTATCTCTCTCCATTTCCCGCATCTGAACGTTAATTTTTTTTAAATCAAACAAAAAAAGGAGAACAAACAATCTTCACATGTAAGTATTTATGTCCATCGGTAATGGCCTGTAACCGATCTTTTTGGACAGAATATAATATTCAATTTCATGTTAAAATAACATTTGGCACATGACCTATTTCGATGTTGTTGCTATTGCTGTTGTTTTTGTTGATGATTGTTAGTGTCATGGATTCCAATTAGGTACGGTGAGATAGCACCGGTCGCCGCTCCTCTTTGTTCTTTGCCGTTGCCCATGATGATGCCAAAAAATACAATAAATAAATTCGTGTCATGTTCAGAATACCAGAGATTTTCCGCCATTGTTTGCGTAACTTTGATATATGTGTCAAAAAATGTAAAAACAAACATTGAATGAATGAATGCTTCGCTATTGAATACAAAGATTTTTTGTCAGAAATGGACAGATGTACATTGCAATGTAGTTTTTGTGTAATATCAACGAACCTATAACATCTGGAAACGAGTGAGTTTTAATGAATTCAAAAGGAAATTCAGGTTGAATTTGTTCAATTGGAAACTAAACAGTGATAAAATTGGATGCCTCGCTCTCTCCAAAATGCAACAAAGCATATTGTTCCTGTGTCAAATAATGTATTTTGAAATGAATTTTAGAAAATAATAGCGTTTGTATTAATTACGTAATGTTGGCAGACCAATTTAGATCCATATAGTGACTGGCATGTTTGTTTAATCATCAACAGTTAAAAGTTTTCGTTTTAATATTTATTACAATTTTTATAAAATTGGATTAAAACTTTTGTAAAATATTTTTAAAAGCATGCTTAAGAAAATATTTTAATAAAGTCGCGACATACTGGGACAAAAGTTCTTGAATATTATTAAGCCCATAATTCTTTCCAAAAACTCCACGATTCTTGGCCTAAAAATTTTCGACAAATTTATCTAAAAAATCTCAATTTTTAAAGGGGATTTTTTTTTACAAAAATCCATGATTTTTGGTTTAATTTTTTTTGAAAAATATTTTTAAAATAAATCTATGATGCTCATGCTCACGTTTTTTTTTTTTTTTTTGAAAATTCTTATACAAATTGGCATGCATTTTTTTTCAAAATATTTTTTGTTTCGTGGCAAGAGAAAAACACAATGCTTGAAAATATTTTTGAAATGTACATGGTACAATAAAAAGATAAGGTAGAGCTACCAGCTGATTACAATTTTTTTCTTAGTGTGCCCGACTTCTGCCAATTTTGTGTATGTATTTATTATTTTGAAAAAAGAAAACAAAATATTTTCAAAATCAATGATTGAAAGAAATTTAAATTGTGGGGCGCGCGTTAATGATATTAATCAGATTTTCCACGGAATTGGAGAATTGAACATTTAGGATCATACTTTTAAGAGAACATTCAGGCATTTCATTCATATTTCGCCATATTTGAACAAAAAATTCAAATAATTGAAAACAACTTGTTGGATATAATTTTGAATAATTCTGATAGGAAGCGGGCATAGTCTCAGGGCTGTATTTCTGTAGTTTTACAAAACATTTTCGGTTTCTGGTTGAAAAAATCGTGAACATTATATGGGGAGTTACCAAGAAAAGCGGCCCAATCTCTACCATCTTTATAACAGATCATGAGTTGATGGAAATATTGCGATGTACCAATTCTGAATAGAATCGAAATTTAATTTCGCTTTTTATGAGTTTTATGGACATTCAAAATTGTTACCCTTTTTGGGGAGGTATCAGAAGGAGTGGACAAATCTTCACAGCAGATCTTGTGTTAGTAGAAATAATGGAATGTGTGAAATATGTATATCCAATTTTATGCGAAATCAGGACCTCCATCTTTATCTCAGGTTTCTGGTTGAGAAAAATCTTGAACTCCATGTAGAGAGGTACCAGAAAAAATGATCCAATCTCTACCACCATTTTAACAGATCTTGTGTTGATGGAAATATTGAAATGTACCAAGTCTGAATAGGTCAGATGTTAATTTCGCGTTTTATGAATTTGATGGACATTCAAGATGTTGACCTTTTGTGGGGGAGGCACCAGAAGGAGTGGACCGACTTATCCCATCTTCACAGCAGATCTTGTGGTACTAGAAATAATGGAATGTGTGAAAGAGAATCGGATGCTTATTTCGGATTTTATAATCGCTTTGGTTATTCAAAACGTTGACCCTTTTTGGGGGAGGTCTCAGAAGGAATGGTCCGATCTCTACTATCTTTATAACAGATATTGTACCATGTCTGAGTGGAATCAGATAATAATTTCACGTTTTATGAGCTTCATGAATATTCAAAATGTTGACCCCTTATGGGATCACAAGACCTTGGGTTAATAAAAATGTTGTGATTTGTGTAATTTGAAGACCTGCGGACTCTTACATCACATTTTATGAGAATTGTAATTATTCAAAATGTTGACCATTTGTGGGGGAGGTATTTGATGGAGTGTACCGATGTTGTCCATCTCCGAACTCAATGTAAGTTTGATAATAATATTCCAATGTATGTTTGGACCAAATCGGATACTCCCTTCGAGAGTTATCGTGCGCACCAGCCAACCAGACGGACATCGCTAGGTCGAATCCATATATCCTGAAACGGATTTTGCCCAAAGAGACCTAGAGTCTAAAACCGCCATATCGTTGAAATTTTTTTTCAAAAAGCTTGGCTTGCAAGGTGTTGGGAAAGGAAAAAAACAACGATTCTTGATTCAAAATATTTTTTTAAAACATTCACGGAGGTGATCAAAAAATTTTTTCAAAAAGTTTTCGACGGTAAATTAAAAAAAAAACATGGACAGGAGGGCCTTATAGAGTCAATTTTGGAGATTCTATTTTTTTCTTTTAATTCACGGAGGTGATCAAAAAATATTTTCAAAAAGTTTTCGCTGGGAAATTTTTAAAAAAATATTTAAATAAAAAAAAAACATGGACAGGAGGGCCTCATAGAGTCCATTTTGGAGATTTTATCTTTTTCTTTTAATCCGAATATCTGGAATAAAAATTTTTAAATCCACTATTTTATGTCCGGAAATCTAAAAAATAGTTTAAAAAATGCAAATTCAAATCTGAAAAATGTTTGTAAACTAAGAAAATTGTTGGAAAAAAAATTTATTAAAAAAGTTCTAAATCACTTCGAAAAATTCCACTATTCCGATGTTTTTACGAAAATATTTAAAAATCCTCCATCCACCATCCAAAAATTGCAAAATAGTCTTGTACATTAAATTCACATCACAGAAAACCTTGAAAAAATAGGTCCTTGAAACTTTTTTAAATGTATTTTGCAAAATAAGTATTACAAATCTAAGATTTTTCGTAAAAATACGAAATTCCTATGGTATGAAGCTCTTGTCAGACTTTCTTGAATGATTTCGAATTACCAAAAATGCTTGGGCAAAAAGTTCTTGAAAAATATTTTGAAATAATCCATAATTCCCACTTAGGAAGTCGTTGACAAGTATTTGAAAAAAATTAACCACTCTTGGCCAGAAGGACTTTGAAATATAAGTTTAATAAAATTGAGATTGATAGCCAGAAGGTTGCTGGAAGATCCTTGAAAATTATGATTAAAAATCCACTATTCCTGGTAGTAAGGGCCTTGAAAGATATTTCTTAAATCATCCTCGATTGGTAATAAGGAGGTCCTTGAAAAATACTTCGCAAAACTCACATTTTTCGGACAGTAATTAATTGAAATATTTTGTTTAAATAATCTAAGGGATCTGGGCAGGAAGTCCTCGAAAAAATTTCCCTAGAAAATCTTACAACTTGTCCAAATTGGATACATACATTAAGATGCATAAAAGTTGAAAAAATAGATTTTTCAAAAATTTCATTATCAATCTGTCGAAAATAAAAAAAAATAAGTTCGTTGTATTAAATAGTAACACTTGATTGATTACAACTATTTTCTTATCTTTGCAGAATATTTGATATATCCGTTGGCTTTCTTTGAAAATTGCAATTGTAGCGGCATTAATTCATGTAAAAAATACATATCTTATATGACTTAATTTATTACATTTCTTATAAATTGTACATGTGTGTATTTTATTATAAATAAATAAAAAGACAAATGAAAAAAATTATTTAAACTTTCAATTCGTATTAATAAGGACACAATTGTTTAGGGGAAGCCTCAAAGTATGCTTTAGCTCAGAAAATAATCCAAAAGTTTAAAGTGGTTGGCACCACTGGCAGTGACATGTTTATAGCGCCATCTAGTGTTTCACATGATTGAAATTGGGCGATCATTTCTTATTTCCGTTAAAAAACGACAAATTTATTGAATGTTTAAAAATCGATTTCATGTGTCTGAAATCATTCCGACTTTTACAATTCGGTAAATGTGATGCAAAAGGAATGCTGTTTACAATTTTTCCGCATTTTACACAACGTATGAATTTTGCCAGACTTAAATCGAATTAAAATATTGACTATAACTGTCCTCTGTTCTAGAACATCCCAAGCCATAGTAACTATTAAAGAAAGATATATATTTGGGTCGATAGGGCCATTTCCTAACCAAAACAAAACATTGAATGCGAGATCCAGAGCAAAATATTGGGGGAATTTTTACCCTAGACGATAATCATTAAAAGTTAGGATAAGAAATTTAAATTTAAAAAACAGCATTCTGAATATTGGTTTTTTTAAATCAAATTAATTTCGAGCTTCTAATATAACACATATTTTTCCCACAAAATAAAAACATTTTTTCCAAAATGTTATCAATTGGAATTTAAATTTTAACCGAGTTTAAAAACTTTTGATATTTAGCATCCTTGAATGATATCAATTTCTTTATGTCTATTTTATACCAAAGAAGTATTATTCAAATATTTCAAAAAAAGGATAGAAAACGGGAACGAAAATTAAATAAAAATTATTTCAAGTTAATAGGTCTAAAAAGCAATAAATTCGGTTAAAAACTATCAATATTTCATGAGAATTGATTTCTATCTTTAAAATCAAAAATTTTTAAAATTTATTTAAAAACATGCCATTTTTGTGAAAATAAAAAAATATTCTGCCAATTTGGATAAGGTACATCAATAGATGGCGCTATAAACATATTTTTGCCAGTGTTTCCAACCATTCTGATTTTTAAGCCCACTTACAATATAAAGTATATTTTTAGGCGCAAATGATATTTATTTCTACCAACATTAAAGAAAACAATTTCAGATGTATTTTTGTTAATAATTGTTTTATTGTTTCTTCAATTAAGATTTATAAGATTTGTTGAAAACGATGGAGCAATTACATTACATTTTAATATTAAAAATCAATCTAAAATTGGATGAGCACGCCATTCGTTCTGCAAAGAAATGAAAGAAAGTCTGATTATTAAAATGCGATAGGTTAAAAATTAAATAATAAAACTGATTTTAAAATATATTTTTCTAACAACATTGAAACATTTATGCCAATAGCAGTCAAAGTAAAAATCTTCTTCTCCACTTCGTTAACGAAAATAACGATTTTAGCCTCGTTCCAACAGGAACAATTTATTCCGTTTGACAGATATTTCATTAATTCTTTATTCATCGTACCACATTTTTAGACTTTTAAAGTGTTTTATATTATACAAGCTTTTCTTTTTTCGGAAAGAAAATGTTTATTTTTTTTTTTTTACACAAAATGTCTTTAAAATTTTTCATGTTGAATTTTATTGTGGAGAATATTAATAAACATATTCCATTGCACAATGGACCCACATCTAATTATTCTGTCATCCCATATTATACAAATTGTCAGACACTTATGAATAAAAATATAAACCAACAGTGACCCCAATATCAAATTTCAGGATTTTAGCTTTACTCAATACTAAATTTAGTACAATTTATTTATATTCGGGCTATTGTAGTATATATTTCCGAAACAACCTCCATACTCAATTCGTAATACCAACATATTCGTAATACCAGAATATTAGTAAACCCATTCCATTGCACAATGGACCCACATCTAATTTTTCTGTCCAAAACTATTTCAATGTCTCCATATATACAAATTGTCAGAAAAAAAATATAATCCAACAGTGATATAATCCAATATGAAATTTCAGGATTTCAGTTTTACTCAATACTAAATTACAGTACAATTTATTTATTTCTAGGGCTATTCTAGTATACATTTCCGAAACCACCAAAATATCTTAATTTCAAATACCAACAGAGAGCTTAATATAAAATTTGAGGATTCCAGCCCTATCTCCTCACCCAATACCAACTTTTGTACCATTTAATACTTTTCGTACAACTATAGGACGAATTTTGAAACGGCCGCAAAACCTCAAACGCAGGTAACATCTGTAATGTATATATCATATTTCAAAATTTTATCTGTATCCCTTCACCCAATACCAAATATAGTACCATTTAACTTTTCGTACAATTATAGTACACATTTCCCACAACACCTCCATATTTCCAGGATACACAGCGACCAAAATTTCAGATATTAAGAACTATCTGTTCACCCAATACTGAATTGTATCAAATATAGTACCCAAGTAAACCCAAAACCCCTTCGTTATCACAAACCAACCAACAACAGGGACCCCAATACAAAATTTCTGTATTCCAGCTTCACCTGTTCGCCCTAAACCAAACTGTTCCAAATTTATTACCACTAAGGACAGTTCGCACACTTAGTATACATTTCTGAAACCACCTTCATATATCGAACTTACTTTCAAGTCTTGATTCCGATGTCAAATATTCTAGATTTTAACTCTATCAAGTTTAAATGTTTAACCCTTTGGTGCATCTATCTTGCACTCCATCAGTGATCCTCATTTCAAATTTCAGAATTCAAGCTCATTCCGGTTACCCAATACAATATTCAATTTTTGGTACATTTTAGTACTTTTCGCATCCTTTTACTACGAATTTTCGAAAAACCTGTCTTATCACACGCCTACGCACCAATATTGACCCATCGTGCAAAATTTCAAGACTCTGGCTGCAGCCGTTTCGTTTTCGTTTCACTAATCTTTAGAGCATAGAGAATAGAGTTTTTTAGGAATAGTGCCAAAGGAAGAAATATTCTAGATCAAATTTTAACTTCACTATCTAAACAAAAGAAATTTGTAAACTTTATACACACCTTGAGAAAATTTCATTAATTTTGTTTCATAAAAAATTTTTATTTTTCACAATTCAAGAAATTCGTCCCAGACTGGTAAATAGGACCCCCAAAAAAGCACAAGTGTATTAAAAATAAAATTTAATAAAAATCATGCTTTGTAAGAGTTTTGTGCAAAAACTCACATGGAGTAGGGCTTAAACCCTAAAATGTGTTTTAGTATGTGTGAAATGGACTTTTAATGTCTTCTGGGATCCATAGTAGAATTTGATGACAAGTAAATTTGTAGAATATTTTCCTGCGATACTCTTTAAAAAGACAAGAAAAGTCCCCTTGGTAAACATTTAGAAAATATTTGGGTATACCAATTTTGATGAGAATCACTGACTTGTTTCGCAAGTTATGAGTGATACAGGATGAGATGAAAAAAATGCAACAAAGTCAAACACCATGATTTTTATACCCTCCACTATACTATGGGGAGTATATTCATTTTGTCATTCCGTTTGTAACTCCTCGAAATACTCATGTCAGACCCAACAAAGTATATATATTCTTGATCAGCGTAAAATTCTAAGATGATTTAGCCATGTACGTCTGTCTGTCTGTTGTAATCGCGCTATCTTTAGAACGAATTGAGATAGAATGCTAAAATTTTGCACATATATTTATTTTGCCCGTACGCAGGTTAAGTTCGGGCTATGTAGGTCCAAGTTTTCATATTGCCCCTATATAACGGTACCTCCCGATATTCGGTATTTTGATGATTTTAGCGACATTATTTACCGGAACTGTTTCAAATTTGGCATTTGAAGTTCGAAATGGATACTACAGCCTAAGGCAGAAATTTGTATATGCAGGTCCACGTCTTCGTATAGCACCCAAATAACGGTACCTCCCAATATTCGATATTTTGTTGATTCTAGCTTCATTATTCACCGTAGTAGTTTCAAATTACGCATTTAGAGTTCGTAATTGGAACTACAGTCTGTGGCAGAGAATTGTCTATGCAGGTCCAGGTCTTCGTATAGGCCCCATTTAGCAGTACCCTATATTCGGTATTTTGACAGTTTTAGATACAATACTCACCGAAATTGTTTGAGATGTCGTATTTGAGGTTATAATAGAAGCTACAGGCTGTGACAGAAAATTATCTATGCAGGTCCATGTCTTCGTGTAGCTCCGATATAACGGTACCTCCTTATATACGGTATTTTGATGATTTTAGCTACATTATTCATCGTTTATTTCAAGTTTTGAATTTGAATATGGTAATGGCTTATGACAAACAATGCCTATGTAGGAGAGTATTCAAAGTTCGGCCCGGCCGGACTTACTGCTTTTTTACTTGTTATAGTTTTATTTTATTGAATGAAGCAAAAATCTCCGAAATAGTATCAAATTTTAGAATAAGTTTAGATTTGTTCGAATTGGTCACCTTTGGCACGAATTATGACCTTCAAACGGCCAACGAAACCGTCGCACGCTGCCCGAATGTTGCTTTGCGGTATTTTGGCCCATTCCGGCGAAGCGCTTGCTTGAGGTGATCGACACTTTGGTATTTTTTAGTGCCAACCTTGCTTTCCAAAATATTCCACACACAATCGTCCAACGGATTGGTATCCGCGAGGAACCTCACACCATCGCCATGGCCGGCGCTTGAGTTCAGGTGGCCAACCGAAGGTGCACATTTTCAGCTAATCTCTTTGGCAAGAATACACGATCATTTTGTTTGTTTACAAACTGCTGGACAAAGAATGTTTTCTCATCGGAGAAAACCAAATTCGGCAGTTCACCACTTTCGGCCAAGCATGGCAACTTTTTATCTCTTTTGAGTCTATTTTCTTTCTGTTGCGGTGTAAGTTCTTGCACTTTTTGGAATTTCAATGGCTTTACCA